TTGAGTGCCCCACCCAACTTGATTCAGCGACCCAAGGCAGATGATACCAGTGCAACCACCATTGAGAAGAAAGCCATAGCAACCATCAGTGCCAAGCTACAGATCACTAATCCCAAGGCAGAGATTACTCGATTTGTGCCCACTGCACTGAGGGTATGTCGGGAGAATAAAGGGGCTACTGCTACTCCCCAAAGAAAGTCAGAGGATGATTCTGCTGTGCCTCTTGCCAAAGAAGCCCCCAAATCTGGTCCTTCTGTCCCTATCTCAGTACAAACTATGGATGTGTTTATGAAGCTTTCATGAAAGAAATGGAAGGGCCGCTGTGACAGCTTTTGATGTCAGAACAGGCTTCTGTTCACCACAGTGGTTTGTGGAGCAAGAGGCTCTTATTAAACTTAGGTGAAAGAGCTACTTCCATTGTCAGGGTATTTTCTAATTTCAGTTCAAGGAAAATCCTAAAATATAGTCTTGTTCAGAATTTACTGCACATAAGAGGGTATTTCACTCAGAATAGATTGGCTATTGCAGCAGTGCTGCTAACATCCATTTCCTTTCACACTACCATCTTCGTCCAGTTTCTTCCCCTTCTCCAGTTCTTTGGAAGTTTGTGATCAGGGGAGTGTTAGTTACTTATTTGTTTTGACTCTCTTCTTGTGTGCTGTGGGCACTGGAGTAGAGATTTCTGAAAACCTAGTTTATTTCATCTTGCCTTTTGTGTTTGAGTTATTTTTAATATTTTCCTGTAAATATTTTGTAATAATTTTACTTGTAGTGAAATGGATCACAATGTCATTTCCTATTACAAAGCAGGATATGTGGGAAGAAAATGTACAATTCTTTGATTAAAATTATTTCCCACAGATCTGAACTTTGAGTGTTTCATGGAAAAATAAATAAAATAAATGTTCTACACCAAGAAGAAAAATGTATGAAAAAAAGTTCAACATCCCTGAAAATCAGGAAAATATGAAACAAAACTACACTGAGAGTTCACCCCGAGCTAGGTTAGAATAGTAATTATCAAGAATACAACTAACAAATTCTGGCAAGGATGTGGAAGGAAAAGTACACTCATACACTGTGGGTGAGATTACAAGTTAGTACAATCACTTTGGAAAGCAGTTTGGAGATTCCTCAAAAGACTAGAAATAGAACCATCATATGATCCACTCATCCAAATTCCTAAATATTTATCCAACAGAACTAAAATCAGCATACTACAGTGAGATAGGCACATCAATGTTTATAGTAGCACAATTCATAATAGCCAACTTATGAGACCAGCCCAGGTGCCCAAAAACAAATGAACTGATTAAGAAAATGTGATATATATA